CTATAATAGAAAAACAAGAAATTGAATTTCTTGGATTATCAATTGATAAAGATGGAATAAAATTACAATCTCATATATTTAAAAAGATAGAAAGTTTTTCAGATAAATTAGAATCAAAAGAACAAATTCAAAAATTCTTCAAATGTTTAAATTATGCAAAAAGATTTATTGAAAATTTTTTAAAAAAGAGACATAGAATTCAGACCTTACTTAGAAAAATAAATACTAAGGGATGAAATGAGAAACATATAGAAAAATGTTAAATTATTAAAAGAAGAATGTAAAAATTTACCAAAATTAAGATTATTAGATGAAAAAGACAATTTAGTTGTTAATACAGATGCTTCAGATAAATATTTGGCAGCTATATTAAAAACAGATTTAAATGAAATTTGTAGGTAATCTAGTGGAACATTCAACCAAACAGAAATAAATTATACTACTCATGAAAAAAATTACTCGCAATAATTAGAGAAATAAAAAAGTTTTTATTCTTCTTATTATTAAAAAATTTATTGTTGAAACTGACAATTTTCAAGTCGCAAGATTAGTCAGAAATAAATTACTAATAGAACCTCAATATAGGAGGTTACACATATGGCAAGCATACTTATTTTTTTTATAATTTTGATATTATACATATTAAAGTTGTAAACAATTATCTTGCAAATTTCTTAAGCAGAAATATAGCATTTGGATATTGATGATATTAAAAATTCCTTAATAGACGTCAAATGGCGAATGGAATTCCTTGTTGAGGAATCATAAGATATAAATATTGGAATAGAGCAATTAGTAGAAACCCTCCAACAAAATGTCAAAATATTGGTAGAGATCTCTAATTCTCATTCCGAATATACCAAACAATTGAATGACAGAATTGATGATATTACTTCACAATTCGAGTCGTTGAATATCAAACAGGAAATACAAACACGTACAATACCAAAAATACAAACAGGAACATCACATGATGGAAGTAGTGGTGGACCCAGCAATATTAAAAGAGATATGCCAAGTCCCCAAAAGGTGACAATAAAAAGCAGTGATGATCATACAAGGGTTATCAGAATCAGGACTGATGAAGATGATGATACCCCTTTATCATCAAAAGATCATCAAAAGAAGAAGAGTATAGATCTTTTGCCAAAATTGTTTACGACTTGAAAGAAAATGACTCCTATTTTATTTCATAAAGAGATCATGTTTATCCCAGATTGATCATTACCAAAGATGCAGACCCCCTGATGTCAAAATGGTAGCTGATTATGGATTTTTAGATCTGATCTACCTCGGAAAGGATCTAAAAGAAATTGAAAATTTTGATAACATATTTAAATCAGAAATATCAAAATTTGCTCAAGGACGATCCATATACATACAATTTTATTCAACAAGTCTTGAAGTTGATGGAAAGATATTTTATACTGCAGAACATATTATAACAGTTGAATATGTTGGCCATGACTTTCAAATTGAGGTTGCCAAGGACAATGCCAAAAATTACCCAATCATAGATGAAATCCCGAAGAGTTTTGGGATTAAAAGTTATTTATAACATGGCAAAAAATCTGTATGATAAAAATTCAAATGCTTATGCTAATATGAAGGATTGACACTACTCACCAACAATGGAAAAGAGAAATCAACAGTGTTAAAAGAGTATATTGAAAAATTTGATACTCACCAGATCAGTGGAAGCCCCACAACAATTCAAGAATCATGCAGGCTGAGGGATTGTCCCACACGACGAAAAAAATAAAAAAAAGATACGACATAAAGAAGATGGAAGGACGACCGTGCCTTTGATGCATGTGAAAATGTAGGACCAAAAGGACAAATAATAGAAGGGTTGTGCCCTGCTAAAGAAGATGTGAAATAAAGTTGATTGTCTTATACAATAATAGAGCCACGAAGATTTAGTGGTTAGACTTTTAAAATTCCATAATTAGAGAATGATGCAATCAATGATGTAAGAGGCCTGATAATTAAGCCTCATATACTTGTATAAATAAAAGCCCTTTGGCTAAGGAGAAGGCAGAACGAATTTAGCACTCAGTTTGTGACAAAGCCAAAAACCTTCTGTTAATCTTGTATCAATTTCAAGTATATCAATTCTACCAATTTTGAATAGATCGTTCACATTTCAATCTTCTAAGAAAAGATATGAGTTTTTAAAACACTTATCACATAGATTCTTGAAAGATTAAGGGAAATATTTCTTTCTTACTTTAACGAAAGGAGAGTTTTCCTTATTAAGGATCTATAGTTTTAATTCTAAGAAAAGATACAGTGAGAGCAAAAACTAGAATAGCAAGGATCTCGTGTAGGCAAGAGGCCGTTGAAGGGAGTAGTTTGCAGATCCAGAAGCTTGAAAATCACTTTGTTATGAGAATACAAGCATATGATTCAAACTAAGGTGAAACTATTAGTTTTGTTAAATTTGAAAAGAATTTTCATGAGATCTTAAAGGAATCGTAGGGATTATTCATATTGATGTTTGTTATAATGCATGTTTTGTTATCAATTAATGATTAAAATGTCAGGATACACTATAACAGCATTAGATAAACTATTAGACAGAATGTTAGAATAAATAAAAAATATCATAGATAAAAAAAAATATGGATATATTATTTGAAGAATATGATAAACTTAACGAAGAACGTGATAAATATGTTACAGATTACTATAATTTTTAAAACCATAGAATGAAACTATATATTAAAATTAGAAATAGAAGAAATACAATACAAGACTAATTTTCGAACCTATAATAAAGAGAATGATATAGAGTTTTGCTATACAAACATAATGCTTGACATGAGGATGTCATAACACACACATGGGGAGGTCGGCATTATTTAATTCAGGTCAGGACCCACATACAATGTGAGTGGTCGATCAATTCCTATGTCAAGTATTTTGTTCATTTAGTTTAATTCAACGATATATCATGCAAAATCAAATAAATAATTTCATTAAGGATAATATAGACTTTTTAACCTGTTTTATTAAAAAGCCAATTAGAAAAAACTCCAACCTTTAGAGGGAGAATGGCTCCTTGATAAATCATTTCATTTATTGAAAAATGACATCTGGTATGAACATTAATGGCAGCCGACAAAAAATGTATTTTTTATTTTATTATCACAACTATCAGAATTAAATAATAATAATAATAATCCTCCACCAAAACCGGTGGTTTGATTTTTTTGCCCTTTCGGCTACTGCGTATTAAATTTGACTTTGGAACAAGCAGAACAGAAGTTATTTATTAATAATAAGGATAATAACAAACCTCCACCAAAACCGGTGGTTTGAAAAATGGTAGATGTACATGAAAAAATGTACATCAAGATCTACGTCCCGTCATATGAAGGGGTCCACTAGAATAAAATATTCGAGTGGATCCCTTACCCATGTGAGGGGGTGTACACCGTAATGTACCACTAGCATGACTCTTTTTTTCCCCTTTTTCGGCCACTGTGTATTAAGCCCTCATTTGGTGCATATTTTTTAGTTAAGAATGTTTTTGTTTGATGTGATGGAGAATATGTGGTTAAAAAAAAAGAAAAATTATGGATATGAAGAAAAATATTATTTTATTAAAAAATGTGTGGTTGAAAATGAGTAAAAAATGAGAATAAAAAAAAATCACGTGGCTCGAGGTAAATTTGACTTTGGAACTGGCAGAACACAAGATTTTTTTGGATGAGCAGAAGTTGAATAAAAGTAGAAGACGAAAGAATTTTTCTTTGTGAGGAAATCTGCAGTTATGGCACAAGATTTCTCATTTCTATCCACTCCAAATTCAACCTTGCTTTTCATCTTCACAATTTTCTTACTATTCATAATCAGATACAAAGTCAGACCCAAAAAGCCTTTAAATCTTCCTCCAGGCAGCTATGGATGGCCATTTCTTGGCGAAACAATGGAATACTTACGCACTGCTATGGGGGGACGGCCACAGAAATTTGTCAAACACAGAATAGAAAAGTACAATTCTCATGTCTTCAAGACTTCAATAGTTGGGGAGCCTATGGCTATGTTGTGCGGGATTGCAGGAAATAAGTACTTGTTCACTAATTCAAATAAGCTGGTCACCACTTGGTGGCCTAGCTCTGTCAGTAAGTTACTCGGACCATGCATATCAACTATCAGTGGGGATGAAGCTATGCAGATGAGAAAGATGGTTTCGTATTTTTTCAGTCCGGATGCTTTCGTAAAGCTTTATGTTAAAACTATGGATTTGGTAACTCAGCAGCATATCAAAACTCACTGGCAAGGTATCAATCTTCGTCATTTTTCTAATTCTAATTTTTTGGATTTGACTGAATTTCGTCTGTGTGTAGGTAAAGAGGAGGTGAAAGTTTATCCCAATTTAAGATTATACACTTTTGAACTGGCGTGTCGTCTATTTATGAGCATTGAAGACCAAAATGAGATCGAAAAGCTAGCTACCTTATTTGATATTTTCGTAAGGGGAGTAATCTCAGTGCCCATCAATTTCCCAGGAACTAAATTCTATAAGGCTAAGAAAGCAACAATTGCTATTAAGAAGGAACTTCAAATGTTGCTAAGACAGAGAAGATTGGCCTTGGAACAGAAGACTGCTGTACCATCACAAGATCTTTTGTCACATTTACTTTCCAGTCCGGATGAAAATGGAAAGTTTATGTCCGAATCAGTCATCGTAAATAATATAGTACTGTTATTGTTTGCTGGTTACGACACTACTAGCGCTGCACTTACTATCCTGATGAAGTATCTTGCAGAACTTCCTGAAATTTATGAAAAGGTGTTGAAAGGTCAGCCAATTATTTGCTTCAACTTATCAATTTATACTCTTGTTTTTATACAAGATTTGCTTCATGGGCTTATAATAGAAATTGATGTTTGATGGAAATTTGAAAGCAGAGCAAATTGAAATTTCATCATCGAAAGAAGAAGGGGAATTTCTGAATTGGGATGATATACAGAAGATGAGGTATTCGTGGAATGTAGCGTGTGAAGCTATTAGACTATATCCACCGGTAATGGGTGGTTTTAGAGAAGCAAAGGCGGATTTGAAGTTTGAAGGATATGACATTCCCAAGGGATGGAAGGTACTCGTTCTAATTATAACTAAATTTTACTGTTCAGTTTGTTCACAAGAATTGAACGGAAAGAAACGAACGGAAACTCAAATTTGGTCTTCTCTTATTATTACAGTTCTACTGGAATGCGCCTTTGACACATACAGATCCTAGTTTCTTTCCAGACGACCAAAAATTTGATCCGTCTCGATTTGAAGGAGCAGGACCTGTTCCATATTCTTATGTTCCATTTGGAGGGGGACCTCGGATGTGCTTGGGGAAAGAGTTTGCTCGACTTGAGATACTTATATTTCTACACAATATTGTCAAGAGATTTAGGTGGAATTTACTTATTGCTGATGAGAAAATAGTGTATGAAATGACTCCAACCCCAGAGAAAGGACTTCCAGTTTGTCTTCATCCTGGTAAGGCCTAAGATGATAAATTTCTGATCGTCAAAAATATAAAGCTATTTTATACATTATTGTACTTTACTGGTTTTGTAATTGAGAGTTAAGCACGGTAATTGAAGAAAATTAGCAAGTCTCATGTATTACAGGCTGAATAATCATTTCAAATTCAGAAACATGTACCTATTTTAATGCATCCCGCTGCATTAAACAATTATATCAACAGTTATTCTTAAGTTGTAGATAATATGACACAGGAAAAAGGATATACTACATTTACATAAAGGTTGACACATTGATTTACATTCATGTGAGTTGACGAATTTTGGTACATTGATCTTGACAACATATTTTTCAATCAACTACCAGATTTTTGACACATAGAGAGGTGTCAATTACCTTGATTGAGCCACCTTTTTGTAGAATGAGAATGAAAAATATAATCGTTATTGGGGCCCACACAAGAGATAGAAAATTTGAATTTAAATGTTGATATGATGGATAACTGTCATGTTTATCATTTTAATGAGAAAATAAGGTGGCCCAAACAGGNAATGCTAAGTGTACACAATATTTTACACCTCTCTCACATGGAAGGAGGCCCACACATAATAAAATAATCGTGGACCCCTCTCGATGTGAGAGATGTGTAAAAGATTGTGTAAAAAAATGTGTACACTTAGCATTATTCTATATGAAAACAGGAAAGAGTAGCTCATGAGTTGTGAACGGGGGGTTGTGATGTTGGAATGTGGGAGTAGAATTATCCAGAAATTTTAAAAAAATCTTTAATTCAATAAAGAAGATCGTTTAGATGTTCACGTGTATATTATATCACGAATAAAAGATTCGAATATTTACCTAAATTTGATGGTTAATTCTTGAATTAATTTTGAATCACAAACTTTCAATTTTTTGGATCACGAGTTTTCAACTTTTGATTCAAAGAACTTGATGCTTCAAACCTACGAGTCTTCTATGGTATTCTCCAATATCAAAATTACATTGGTGGGTACGCACCTTCTTTTAATTAAATTAAAAAACTAATTTTTGGACAGGACAATAAGAATTTTTTTTTTTTTTGTCTTTTTCTCTCTACAATTTGAACACTGTGAATTATATGCTATATATTTTTATGTTCTATAGGATGTCTAGGTTCCATCTAATCTATATTTATAGAGATAATAGTTCCGAGGGTGTGAGCCACATTATTTTGGAAGAATGTATTTTAAAATAGTAGATTGATGGAGAATGTGTGGTTCAAAAACAGCCTACGGCAACGTTTGAAAAACGTAGGTCATATAATTTTTTTTTTTTTTTTACCAACAAAATTGAAAATACTTATTTTGAACAAATTTTAAAATTGCATAAAAATTGATAATTTCATTACAAATTTTTGAATCCATACACTTGAACATTAAAATCTAATACAACATCACCTAAATAAAAAGGAGTTTCAAAATGAAATAAAATTAGGAATAAAATTTTGGACAAACA